AGGGACGGCGCAGGAGGGGAAGGCCCTCTATGAGGGGGATTGATTCAGTGACTGGGATAATTGGGATGGGTGCATCAGAGGCAATGCGATTGGCACAGGACAGAGCAGGGTTTAGGGCTGTTGTACACAGGGTCGCTATGAGTTGCAGGCGACTCGACGGCACATAAGAACAACAGCGGGGAGGTCAGGTGGGGACTGTGAGTTCTGAGTGCTGTACTTACAGTCGGACCGAGGCATGTTACTGGGTTTCGTTGAGAAGCGGGGAAGAATCGCCAGAGATGACAGCCCCTGAGTATGACAGCCGTGAATCGACCTGCCTGAGGGGTCCACACCTGCAAGTGATTGCAAAGACCATGGCCTGTATCAGGCGCACCTCAGTCTCCAGAGTGACACCGTTGCTCATCAGCACTTTCGCGAGGTCTCTAAGCGCAGACTGCGCGGCCTCCGCCCTTTGGCAGGCAACCTCCCGCGGCATCTCGAAGTCTCGCGAGAACGTCAGCCTCCTCTCGCTCCCGGGCATTCCTTTTCCCTCGCGTCCCGCCGCCTCTGGGCGGGGCCCCGACGGAGCCCCTTACGCACGTATGACGCACTTCCGGTGACATTACTTCCTGGCGGCAGCGCCGTTGGCAAGCCTCAGTTCCGCTCTGGGCGCGCTCGCTCCGGTCGGCGATCATGGCGGCTGCGGCCACGATGGCGACCTCGGGGTCTGCGCGGAAGCGGCTGCTCAAGGAAGAAGACATGACAAAGGTGGAGTTCGAGACCAGCGAGGAGGTGGACGTCACGCCCACGTTTGACACCATGGGCCTGCGGGAGGACCTGCTGCGCGGCATCTACGCCTACGGTGCGCGGGGCGCGAGCCGGGGCCTTCGGGGGGCTGGGGGTCGGGGGTCGGGGTGCCGGTGGCCTTCCCCGCCCCCTCCGCGCCCGCCACGTGAACTTGTGCCTGGACCCCGGCGTCCAGCGCGGCTGCTTGTGGGCCCGGGAGAGCTGTTTGCCGCCCTCGAGGGCTCGAGTTGGGGTCCGGGGGGGCGCGGGGACCGAGCGCCGGGCTGTGAGCTGCAGGGTGGGCTCCGCGGGGGACGGTTACAGCCGGGGACCCGGGGGGGGCGGGCCGGCGCTTTGACAGGCGAGGGGCAAGGTCGACCCCCGGGACCCGGCAAGCCTGGGTGATGGGCGATCCGGACGCGCCCTCGCTCCGCAGGGCTGTGCCCGTGTTAGGAGCTGCATGGCGGGTCATTGCGGGTCGCAGAGCGAGGTGATGGATGGACAGCCGCGAGGGGAGGAGAGCATGGCTTCTGTTAAAGACAGACAGGAAAGGAGAAGGGCCAGTGATGCAGAGGGAACAGCCGGTTCTGGACCCTGAAGCCTGACCGAGCGGTGTCCTGGGTGGGGTATGGGGAGCTGGGCTGGGCAGAGCATTGTGTAGGGTGATGAAGAGCTTGGACTTGCTTTTGGGGATGGGGGGTGGGGGGAGACCAGGCAGGGGTAGGGGTGGGAATGAGAGAGGAAGCTTCTTGTTCAGGTCTCTGAGAGGTGATGGTGTTGCCCTGGGTATAGATGAATCTGGAGGAGCTGACCGTCTGGTTTTGTACCTGGACGTGAGCTGCACGTGCGGGCTTGGCTCCTGGGATTCAGGGGGTGAGGCTTGCTTATGTGGGAGGCCCTTCAGGAGCTCTGCGTTGGCTGTGGGGAGCTGGAGAGAGAGGCCTGGGAGCCCATGGGCTGGCTGTCCACTGGACTGTCCGCTGCAGGCTGTGTTTTGGCACTGAGGACAGAGATGTGAACTGTTGCTATGTCTGATTTCAAAGCATGGACAGACATTTCTAACCAGATTGTTTGCAGCAGTTCAGCTGTCACAGGGCCTGGAGGCTGATCTGCCTGTTGGCAGAGGTGCCCCAGCTCAAAAGCACTTAGCTTCTCAGCTGTCTGCCTAGAGCTTAAACGATCTGTCAAATGGGGTTTTGTGTGAGATGGGAAGTTGTACTGCATTTTAAAAGACCACCGGGGGAGCAAGAGTGCTACAATGTTGATGTCCCACTGCTGCCTTCATTGCCAGCTCATAGAGACTCTCCGTCAGGTTTGTGAGGCTGTAACTCCTGAAGGGAGAACTACCCATTGTTTTCCCAAAGAATGGCTAGTGGGTTCATTAAGATAGTTCAGTGTCTTACCCAGAAGTAAAGCCTTTGACCCCGTGACATGACCCGGACAGGCAGTTCATGGTAAGTGTCCCGAATGAACCAAGGCCTTTGATATGAACAGGAAAGAGCAGTGATTGGACAGGGTCACTTTCTTTTTCTTTTTTAGACTTGGAATGTAATGTAGGATTTTGTATCGTGACAAACAGTATGATATTTTTTTATGATTATATACATACATACATATAAAGTGCCATGGATTCATAGCAGACTGTCCAGTGAGCTTTCAGAAGCTGTAAATTACATAGGAGATTGCCCGTCTTTCTCTGGAGCGGATGGTGGATTTGAACCACATGGCTTTGGGGTGGCAGTGTAACTCCTTATCACTAAGCCACCAGAGCTCCCTGATACAGAAACAATTAGGGTAGAAAAGTACCCCAAACCAAAGAAGACCCATTGCGGGGGATTACGTTGCAGCTCTGACGACTTTGTGGGGCGCATGGAACCCCTCACAGGGTTCCCAGGATGCGCTCCTTGTGGACCTGGCTGCTACCCGCTTCTCCACTGGATTGGCTGGTGGAGTCCTGCCTTCCGCCTGGTGGCCCTGCACTTTATCCACTGAATCACTCAGAGCTTCCTGGGTGAAAAGTAACACCCCGCTGAATCCCACTGTCCAGGCTGATATCCACCAGTGACATTTGGTGCCCATTCTTCCCGAGCTTGCGCCCTCAGGAGATGTTTGTGGAGGATCAAACGCATCTGTGGTCCTGTGTCTTCTGTGCTTTGCTGGTCCCTTTGTAGGAATGGTCTCCTGTGCTGGTGTAGTATCCTCGCCTGCTTCCTGTGGAGCCTGCCTTCACCAGTCTTTGGTTAGGATGGGGCTTGACTGGAAGGGCCAGCTCTGCCATCCGGAAGCCTGCAGTCTGTATGCTGTGGGGGATAATAGAGCTCGATTTTTGCATTTTCTTTGCAGGTTTTGAAAAGCCATCAGCAATTCAGCAGCGAGCCATCAAGCAGATAATTAAAGGGAGGGATGTCATTGCTCAGTAAGTGTGTCTGCAGAGAGAGGAGTGGGCTGGTGGGCCGCAAACAGGACGGGCAATGTCAGGGCAGGTGGCTCCGCCGGGGAGCCCTTACGCACCCTCACCGACTCCTTCCTGACTTTAACCACAGGGTTTTGCTTTCGGGTTTGTCCTGTATTGGAGAGGCCTTTTCATTTCGTAATGGGCTTTCCTCGGCCCTAAGAAGCCCTGGGAGACTACTGTGAGGTTAAATGTTGTCCTGTTGACCACAAGGTCAGCAGCTCAAATCCACTCAGACTCTCGGAAGGAGAAAGTTGAAGCAGCTCCTCCTTCTAAGATTTGGGGCCTGGGAACCCCGGTGGGGCAGGTCTGCTCTGCACTGTGGGGTCCCTATGAGTCAGATTGCCTTGATACCGGTGGGTTTGGTGGGACCCTTAGCTCTCTGTTACCCTGGGAGATTGTAGGTGATGCTCTGTTGTAAGAAGGTTTCTTCCAAGCTTAGTTTAAGAAAAGACCGCTTTATACACACAGTTATTGTTTAGAGAGTGACGCTTGTCCAGAATCATAGAAAGGAATTGTACGGGTCGTAGCAGGAGGACATTCCTCCTCGTCCTGTTGTTTGTAAATCATCCGTGGAGCCGCACAACCTGCCGCTCCAGCCACTGGTGCAAGGGCCGCGTCTCCTCACCTGTGGACAGACGGCCCCTTCTCCCTCGGAGGGTGTGGGCATTCTGGGGGGACATCTGTGCAGACTGTCAGTCCTGACCCTGTCGGAGTGTCTTGGGAGAGACTGCAACTACACTGTGTTCTCCTCCAGGTCTCAGTCTGGTACCGGCAAGACGGCCACTTTCAGTATTTCCGTCCTCCAGTGTCTGGATATTCAGGTAATTTGCTGCACTTAAAACAAACCTGTTTTAAGTCCTAGAAAGAGACTTTTTGTTCTAGGACTGAAGCATTCATAAAGTACTGATTTTTAAATTTCCTATGCTTGTACCTAACAAAGGTTTTTGGGGTTTTGTTTGTGTGGTGTGTAGTGTTTTGGTTTTTGTTTTTCTTTAAATTGTAATTTTAACAAAAGTTTACAGAAAGGTTGGGTTTTCACTCGTTCATTGTTGCACATTTTTCTTTCCTCCCTCTCCCTTCCCCTGGCCCACTTTGCAGTGTGTCTCTTGTCCTATTGCTGTCATACATAAAGTGCCTAAACACACCTTTCAGACAGTCTTTCCCCTCATCTGCTCCAGAGCACTGTTCATTTTCTAAACCCTCTTCCTGTTCTGCCCCCAAACCCCCTGGTCAGTTCTATTTTATGATAGTAATATTATGCAGTATTTGTCCTTTGGTGACTGAGGTAATTCACTCAGCATAATATCCTCCAGGCTCTCCCATGTTGTGGAATGCTTTACAAGTTCATTCTTTTTCGGTGCTGTGTAATATTCCGTTGTGTGGGTGGACCACCTTTTTTCCCCTGTCCATTTGTTTGTTAATGGGCACTTGAATTGCTTCCATCTCTTTGCTACTGTGAATAATGCAGCCATAAACCTGGGTGTGCACACTTCTGTGTGAGTTGTGGCTCTCCTTTCTTTAGGGTACATTCCCAGGAGTGGACTTGCTGGGTCAAATGGTATTTCCATTTCCAACTTTTTGAGAAAGTGCTTGACCATCTTCCATAGTGGCTGCACCATTTTACACTCAACTAGTATTAATAAAAATTCCAGTCTCCACAACCTCGCCCCGTGGCTGCTGTGTTGAACGTGTCTGTTGTTGCTGGGGTGAGCTAGCTGATACCATTGTTTTGAGGACTTAACAAAGAGAATCTTTATTTGCAAACACTGAACACTAGTGTTGGACGAGTCCCCGTCACAAATCCCTCCTTTTTTATTCCTGTGAGAGGAAATTCTTACCTGTAGCCACACTTGTGACTGATCTGCTCCAGCATGTTGGCTTCACAGGAAATAGCATTGAAATGGGTGGTGCAGTGGTTAAGCACTGGTTGCCAACCAACCAGAAGGTTCAGAGCCGCCAGCCCCTCCTCGGGAAGGTGAGGCGGTGGGGTCCGTGGAGACGACCCTCACAAGCCCCGGGCACTACCCTCTGCCCTGCAGAGTCGCTCAGAGTTGAATCGGACTCGGTGGAAGTGGGTTGGGTTTGGGTTGGGAGTGAGGAGTGTGGGTAACATTAGGTATTTTCTGGGGTAAACCCTGTGTTCTGGACTGTTGCTGTCCCCTGCTCCTGGACGCACTGAGTGGTCTGTTTTCTGATTGCCCCTCCAGGTCCGGGAAACCCAAGCTCTGATTCTGGCTCCCACGAGAGAGTTAGCTGTGCAGATTCAGAAGGTGAGATGCTCTCTGTGCCATGTTGGCACATACTGCTTTATCAGGGATTTATAAGGTACTACAATCCTAAAGGTACGCAGTTCAAATCCACCAGGTGCTCTGCTGGAGAAGGAGGGGCAACCTCCTCTTGTATCATTCAGATCCAATTTGATGTCACACACACACACACACGCGCGCGCGCGCACGCACACACACGCACACACACACACACACACACACACAGAGTAAGAGGAGCCACGAGTAACCAGAATTGTGCTTCATTCTTACCTCAACTTGTGCCTAAAATATTGTGGATGAATTGTTGGTTTGTAGTAAGTAATTTTTTTAAACTAATCTCCAATAAAGAATTTGTTATTTTAAGTTATTTGTTGAATGTAGTAAGTAATTTTTAATGCAATTTGTGTGCATTCAGTAGTCTTTCCGTTTCTTTTTTAAACAGAAAATCATTTTGCTAAAAAGAGTCACTGCTGTTTTCTATTCATATGCATTAAAAAGTATGTGTTGGACACACATGAGATGCTCTTGGTGCTGTCTTGTGTGGGAAGGGTTGTGAGCTGCCGCGCTCCCTGGCTTTGCTGTCATTAGTGTGTGTTGCTTTTGTAATCAGCAACTGAAGCGGGCGAGGGGAGGAGCACCGGGCTAGGGGCCCAGTTCAGGCAGAAACCACAGTGTGGTTGCAGAGACTGAAGTGGGGGAGGCGCCGGGCTGGGGACCAGTTGGGGCAGAAACCAGAGTGGTAACAGCAGGGTGCAGGGCACCTCTCTTCATTTCGGGACACTGGTCTAGAGGCAGGGCCTGGGGGTGGCCACCTTACCCACAAGCCCCATGTCCCCCCAGGGCCTGCTTGCTCTTGGCGACTACATGAACGTCCAGTGTCACGCCTGCATCGGGGGCACCAACGTGGGGGAGGACATCAGGAAGCTGGACTACGGGCAGCATGTCGTCGCTGGCACACCTGGCCGCGTCTTTGGTAAGCTCACCTGTCTGTCATGACTGCTGCGGCCAGGGGACAAGTAAGTGCCCGTGTGGGCGGGGTCAGGAAGGTGCAGGAAAATTCTCTCGTGTTCTGTGAAAGTGGGTTGAAGAGGTTGCCCCTCCCACACTGTCACCAGAGGTCATCGTTTCAAATCTCCCTGTGCAGACATGATCCGGCGCCGGAGCCTGAGGACACGAGCCATCAAGATGCTGGTCTTGGATGAGGCCGATGAGATGCTCAACAAAGGTGCGTGTGACAGGTCTCCCCGTGTCACACTGACAGGACTTGCATGACAGGGGCACTGGGTTGGGGCTGCCTGGGCTGAGGTGGAGGCCATCCAAGCTGGTGGCCAGGGCAGTGGAGTTAGAGTCTGATTTCTGGACAGGGGACCAGTCCCTCAGGCAGACACACGTGTGCTGGAGTCAAGAGCAAAAGTGGATTAGGCTCAGATGCGCTTGCTTCCCAGCGGTACCTGATGGTAGCAGCTGCGTCTGGCGTGTGCGCCGTCCTGGTTTAACCATGTCCATCTCTCCTCAGGTTTCAAAGAACAGATCTATGACGTGTACAGGTACTTGCCTCCGGCCACACAGGTGGTGCTCATCAGTGCCACGCTGCCCCACGAGATCCTGGAGATGACCAACAAGTTCATGACCGACCCCATCCGCATCTTGGTGAAACGGTACAGTGAACACATGCGAGGCCTCGGAGCCTAGACGTCCTCTGTCAGTCCTTCTTGGGAGAAATGCTCACTCCTTTCTGACTTGGTGTTTCCACCTTTAAAAGCATGTGCGGTGTGTCAGGGACAAAGTGCCTTAGCGACTGTGGACATGCTGTGCACCCCCGTGTGTGACTGAGAGATGTTTATCCCACTCCAGATCTCTGGGGTTCTCTTTTTTTTTATTTTGTGTGTGTGTGTGTGTGTGTGCATGTGTACGTGTGTACACACACACACACTGTCAAATCAGATCTGACTGGTACAGGAGGAGATTGTTCCTCCTTCTCCAGCAGAGCATCTGGTGTATTTGAACCATGCACCTCCGGGATTGCAGTACACCTTCTTGCCACTCGGCCACCAGAGCTCGCCTGGGGTTCTCTTCTTAACAGGCCTGCTTGATCTGGAATGTGGACATGTGTGGCGCCAGGGTGTGGTGGGGGGCAGGAGGAATGGGCAGTAGATTGCAGGACTGTGATGCGGGCCTCGCCTCTGGTCCTCAGCTGTCCCCAGAGCTGAGGGACATGTGGGCTGTGGTGGGAGTGCTGACAGGGTCTCCCTCTCTCCCCAAGTGATGAACTGACCCTGGAAGGCATCAAGCAGTTCTTCGTGGCTGTGGAACGGGAAGAGTGGAAGTTCGACACCCTGTGTGACCTGTACGACACGCTGACCATCACGCAGGCGGTCATCTTCTGCAACACCAAGAGGAAGGTGTGTTGGCTGGCCTGCTGTGTGCAGACCCTCGCAGGGGGAGCCAGGGCGGGTCCTGCAGTGCCGGAGATGAGGCGTTTGCTGTGGCTGGCCTGGCCTCTGAGACTGGTCTGCGCTCACGGCTCCGCTCCGAGGCTGTGCGTGAGGGAGCTAAGCCTGATTGACTCTCTCCTGTCTGTGGTAGTGCCATGGCATGGTCGGAGCCTCTGAAGAACTTTCAGGAAAAAAATAGTATCGCTCCAGCTCTCCCTCCAAAGATTGCAATTGGCTTTTAGGCAGCGTCAGTTTTCTGTTCCAAGTGAAGAACGCCTTCCTTTCCTGGGACGTTCAGTGACATTCCCCTTCATTCCTGTGCTGCCCAGTCCACGCTGTCCTCTCCCCACCCCTACTTCATCTTTTCCTGAAGTTCATTTATGTAGCTGTTGAGCGCGTCACTGATTGGCACGATTGTGGCCCCTCGCCCTCCTTTCTGAGCTGGTCTCCCCTCGCCCCTCTGTTGACTCAGTTACCTGACACCCAGCCAGTGGCCCCGGGCCGTGGACCCCCGAGGGGCTGGCCCCTCTCTCCGTCCTTCTCTGTAGAGACACGTGGCCTCTGGTTGGTGCTGCTCCCACAGTCCTCGCCTCCAGAGCTCCCCTTTTGGAGGGTGTTTTCTGGCCTAGACGCGTTAAAGGGGGTGTTTAAAGCACCCCGGTGCCACCTGGGTGGTGTGGGGTTGCCGCCAATGCCGGTGGACATGAGCCTGTGCCGGCTCGGTCTGGTTTGCACTCACGGGGCCCTCGGCTGCCTTTTTTCTAGGTTGACTGGTTGACGGAGAAGATGCGAGAAGCCAACTTCACTGTCTCCTCGATGCATGGCGACATGCCCCAGAAGGAGCGAGAGTCCATTATGAAGGAGTTCAGATCCGGCGCCAGGTCAGTCCCGGGCTTAGGAGACCCCTTGACTGCTGGGGGTGAGGGAGTGTTGACCAGCCTTGACCATGTGTGTCCTTTCTTTTCCAAGCTTTGGGTGACGTCAGCGGGTTACATTGTGTCCAGAGGCCATGTCCTGTGCTGTGTTGGCTACAGGATTGATGAGTACTTGCCCCCTACTTACAGAGGCAGTGAACAGAGCTCCCGTTCTTGTCAGGGGGCCCTGGTGTCCTCCAGGGGGTTGCAGTCCCTTCCGTCAGGATGGGGAGAGCTGCCAGGGTCTGCTCCTCTGTGCAGGTCTGTCAGTTTGTCCTTCACGTGCTCAGAGCCTGGAGGGTCATAGCGGAAGTTAGACTCACTCTGTTTCTGGGGACGTGGCTTCTTGCTAAAGCACCTGGAAGCTGTTGGTCCTGCGAGGCCTGTCTCCTCCACTGTTTGCTGTACCGGAAGTTGTAGGGCGTCTCTTGAAGTGATGTGAACTGTCCCAAGTTCATGTTACTTGTTGTGACTCGTGTTTCTTTCTTTGATCTTGGGATTGAATTTTCTGGTTTCCGTCTTTTTGGACTGGAAGCTGTGTATTTCCTTACTCAGTGGATACCCCCATTGATTGTTGCTCTCCCACGATCGGCCTGGTTCCCAGCCCCAGGTTGTCGTGCAGAGTTGGTGTGAGGTCAGAGTGGAGGATGGCCACATGGGGTCACGCAACATACCTGTGGGATTACGTCAGTACCTGCCGTCAAGCCAGTGAGTCCTGGCCCTGCCAGGCCGGTGCCGTAACCGTCGCGGCCAGCGTTCCTCTCACTTCACAGCTGACAGCGTGGGGAATGCACAGTGGTCAGGGAGGAGGGAGCTCACTACTGTAACGGGGGGCTGGCAGACGAAGGGAGACGGGCGAAGAGCTGGACACTGTGCCTCTCACGTGGTAACTGGTACTTCTCCCACGTTTTCCAGGGCCTTTAAAACGCTTAACTCCACTTACACTCAGGTTATGTGGTGGTGTCCTGTTTTCCGTGTATTTTAACCCCAGAGAAGCCATTACTTTGCATAAGCCATCTGGGCATGTACTTGCTGTATGAGTTCCCCTTCTTGTGTTTCTGTCTTTGAACTTGCCCCTGAACTCCGTTTCCTGTCAGCGTGGATGTCCTGGTGACAGGTTGTCTGCCTGGAAAGGCCAGTCTCCAGGTTACCTTGAATTGTTTCCTTCAGCTGTCTTGAGGACCGTCTTTGCTGGACAGAATTCTAGGCTGAGGCAGTGTCTTCGTGCCTGTCCTGGAAGTGCGGTCAGCTGCCGTCTTATCGCGGCTGTGCGGGGTGGGGGGCTGCTTTGAGGCAGTGTTCCTGGCTGCGGGTTTCTTCATCTATATGGAGTTTGTAGAACTTTTATACCCTTTTATTTCTTCAAATAATGCATCTATTCTGTTCCTTGGACTCCAGGTAGATAGATAGATGTGGTCATGGAGGGGTGGCTCCTCCGTGTGCTCGGAACCGACAGGCATTGCTCAGTAAACGCATCACACTAGCAGTGTCAGGAGAGGAGGACTCCACGCTGCATGGGCACTTTGATATTCTTAGTGGCTGTGTGAAAACAGCTAAAAGAAACATTTTCCCACTTTCCTGGCATCATCTACAGCGTAGTATTTGTGACTTGGCGTACACACGCATGGTTGGCACAGCACCGCTTAGACCAGCCTTGTCCCACTCACTGTGGGGCGGCCGGCCGGGAGCCCTGGGCCGGGAGTCCTGGCTGATGTGCTGACAGCACAGTGTAGGGTGAGGGAGACGAGCTGTGTCCAGGTTGGAGGTGGTGGGCTCAGTGCCTGTGGTCGGTGGGGCTCTGTCCTGGGGAGCTCTTGGTAGAGCTTTGATGGACGGCTGGCTCTGGACAGGCTGATGCACCTCTCACGTCCAGTTCCTGTAAGCTACAGCACAACTGAGCTGGTCCCTCTCATGGGTCCCAGGTGCCGTCCTAACCCCAGTGTCATAGGCCAGCG